TCGGCTCTTACAGCTGCGAAGAGTTCCATAGTCTGCTCTGTGCGTTGAGTCTGACCGTCATTTCCTTGGTTCTCCGCGTATTTTTTAATTCATTATAACTATTGCAATAATAGATAAATACAATTGAATCATTCATTTGTTCACTTTTATGAAAATCTATGAAAAATAATTAATCTTGAAAATATGATTAATTAAATATTAGACAACTTCTTTATATACTTGTTTTTTCAAATCCATATTAATAGAATCTAAGAGTGAATCTAATATTACAAAAAACCTTTGTTTGAACAAATAATCACTTAAATCATAATCTACAGAAAATATCTCAAGTAAGTAATCAACAAGTTTTTTAGATGCTATTGCAATTTCTTGATTTTTTGTTATATTTTCTTTCTTTTTTTGGTTTTTTTTTAATTTAACTATTGAAAATATTTTTGCTTAACAACTATAACAAGTTTTTAATTTATTGAATTTCTTGGTATTTGTGTTTTTTGTGTTTTTAAAAGTTTTTTTAGACTTCTTAACATTACAATGATTATACTCTTTCATGATTCAAAAATATATCATTTTTATATCAATAAAATTTTATATAAAAAAAAATCATTTTTAATATTATTAATCATATAAATTATGTTATTTAAAAATTTTTTAGATAGTGATTTAATTACCATTGTAAAAAAGAAATTTTAAATACAAAAATTAGTTACCTAATGTAAATTAATTTGCATATTTGGCATTTTTTGCTTTATTTCAATTAAATGATAATTACTGATCATTAAAAATGAAAATATTTTTGGATAATCTGATAAGCAAATAATTTATTATATGATGTCTTGTAAACTTTTGTTTAATTAGCTAATATAAGTTGACTATCTATAGTGTTTATTAAATGCTTTGCAATATATTAATTGGATGCTAGATCAGATATCATTTGTATAATACTTGAACTATTTGCTAATTATTATATTTGCTTTTATTTTTGGTTTCTAGCTTAACTGAATTATGCAACTATTTTATTTCTTAATATAGTTACAAAATGTAATAACTATTATTAGAATGATTTTATTACATTACTAGAAATAATAGTCAGTAAAATGTAGTAATGTGTTATGCATAGGTTGTTTGGTTTTTTTTTGAATCCTATACAAGATTTTTAATATAAGATTATTTGGCCTGCATTAGCATATTATCTGGTCTGCATTAAATATCATTTGGCCTGCATTAAAATTAATAGGCCAATTTCAAAAATTCATTATCCAAAAAAGTTTTGAATATTATGTAGCAAATATATCAAGCACTAAAACTTTATAAAACTTAAAAATAAAAAATTTAAACAATAAGTAATAAATTAGTTACTTTTCTTTACTTTTTTTTCAAAAACTTATTCAATATAAAGTTTCTATTTCTTTTATACTAATGACTTATATGTACAGTTGTACTGCACCTGATATCTATTCTCCAATTGATTAAATTTGTTTTATTGTTATATCTCTTTTATCATAGCTGTTTTATCTTTTAACTTCAAATTTTGTATAGAATACTTTCTTTTTAATATTTTTTTTTTTTTTTTTTTTTTTTTTTTTTTTTTTTATGGGGTTTTTTTTTTTTTTTTTTTTTTATTTTTTTGGTGATCTTTTTGGTTTTTTTTGTGATTATATTTTAAAATTTATTTCTATTAT